TGTGTGTGTGTGTGTGTGTGTGTGTGTGGAGAGAGAGAGAGAGAGAGAGAGAGAGAAAATGTGCCTGAGGGTGTGTTCTTCTGGTCACATTGCATCATTGAGGCAGGGTGGCCAGAGTTGTGTTCTTGGGTGTCTGGGTGGGTCTGGGTGTCCTCTGGGGGAAGGAGATGCAGGTCAGTGTATGTCCGGGAGTCTCCTTGAATGGACCAGTGTTGTGTAGCAGTGATGCGGGTCTGGCTGTGTGCCTGGGGGTGTCTGTGAGTCAGAGGGTGAGCAACTGCCAGGTCCTGTGCCTAGCGTTGAGGACAGAGTAGGGAACAAGACAAAAGACCCTGTCCCCCTTGGGGTGGGGGTCTGACATTCTAGTGGGAGTCAGGTGCAGAGGTCACTTGGCAGAATCTGGTTTTTGATGGAAAGTCCTGGAGGTGAGGGTACCTGGGTGAATGTGTGGGTTTCAAGCTGACCACAATGTGTGCATCAGCTCTGAGGCTCCTTCTGTCAGAAAGCATCAGGGTATGCGACCAGCTTGTGTATGTTTGGCAGAGATGTGGGTCGCTGTCTGTGTCCCAGAGTGTGTGTGACCAAGTGGGTGAGTATGCCAGGGTCCCAGGGGCTTTGTCTGTAATCAGGGTCTCTGTGGCAGAAAGTGTTAATAGGTGTCACTAGGAATGTGTTTTTTTCTGTGGGGTCCCCATGGGTCTGCAGCAGCGAGGAGGACCTGGATGTACCCAAGTGTGTGTACACAGGTGCCTGTATGTGTCAGGGAGGGGGCTCTGTGTCTTTTCAGAGATGTGGGTCTGTGTGCATCAGGCTGTGTTGGTGTGTGTGACCAGGTGTGTGTGCGTGTGTCAGGGAGGGAGGGTCTCTGTGCGCCTGAGGATGTATCTGTCTTTGCTTAAGTACTTGGGGGCGCTCTGTCCTTGGGATCCCAAAGATCTGACCCGACCTCCCCCCTTGCACCACAGCCGCTGCCGATGCAAGGCCGTGGCAGAGGGAATCGATACGTCCTTAAAAATTCAAGGGCTTCTCGTAAACAGAAACTTTTAACACCGTTTAAAGTTTCAGGGCCGCTGCTGCTGCCTCCACGCTGCCGCCACGGCTGCAGGAGGAGGGCGTGAGGGAGGGAGGGGCGCGGGAGAGGGATTGAGGGGGTGCCGAGGGGAAGGGGCGGGGCTATGTGGGGGACCGAGGAGGGGATGCAGGAGGGGACTGGGGGCTGTGAAGGGCTGAAGGGAGGGGCAGGAAAGGGATTTGGGGGCTATGTTACCGGGTGGGAAGACGGAGGGGAGGGGAGCAGGAAGTTGGGGGGAAGGGATGAGTCTGGGGGCCTTTAAGGAGGCTTAAGAGAGGCTGGAATGTCTGGGAGTAGGAGCTGGGGATATGTGGGCCCAGGAGGGGGCCAAGGTGGGGCTTGGATGCCAAGGGAAGGAGCAGAGGATAGATCTGGGAGTTATGGGGCCTGGGTGAAGGGGACACTGGAGCAGTGTGGGCCTGTGGAGGACTGGAGGGGCAGCAGTGGGAAAGGTTTGGGGAGGGGGAAGAAATGGTGGAAAGCTTTAGGGTGTCTGGGATCTTCAGTGTAGCTGGGGGCTTGGGGAGATCTCAAGAGCTAGGGCCCTCCTTGCCCCTCTGCAAATGGCCATGAAGGGGCACACCCCTCAGAAGCAGGGCCAGCTTTGGCCAGTCCTCTCCCCACCTGCCCGCCTGGCCTCCCAGCCCTGTCTACCAGCCACCAGATGTACCCGGTCTACCCACTCCCTCACCCTCCTCCTAGTCTTGCATCTGGCCCCACACCTGGCCTCTGCTAGAACCAGCATCCTGTACCCATTTCACACACACATCCATACATACACACAACACGCAGCCTTGCATTCACGCAACACCCTCCCTGTGTGAACAGGCACACACACTCAGTTCTCTTCCTTAAACACTCACACAAGACCTCCATCCATATTCCCACAAACAAAACACTTGTCCCTATGTTCATGTACATATCCACACTCAGAATTTTCTCCACAAGCTCAGACCACCCTCATACCCACAACAGCCCCCATGCGCACATGCATGCGCACATACATACACATCCACACATCCATTCTGCTCCCCCCTCCACAGCTGCCAGCTGGGAGGAGTTTTACAGAGAGGCTGAGGGGCTGCTCAGGAGGACACCCATGCCCCTCCATCCCCTGTCCTCCCCTCCAGAGCCCAGGTCTTAGGACACACCTGCCCTTAGAGAAATCACAGGGGAGGAGGGTGCTGCCAGGGGGCTGGGCACAGCTGGGATGCCACAGCTGGAATCCCCCACATTCCTCCCTGCTGGGGCTGCCCACCTGGCTGCGGCTGGCAGCAGGTGTGTTCTTACAATGCAGGTGTGTGGGGGGAGGAGGAGGAGGGAGGAGTGGGCACCAGGCCCATGGCACTACCTGGCTAGGAAGCTGGGGGCGGGGGGTGGTGGTGCTGAAACATCTGGGCTCTGGCAGCCCTGTCCTGGGCCACTGAAGTTATTGCCACCAGGCATTGCTGGGCTTCAGGGCAGCTGGGCAGTCTTCTTGGGTGGGAGAGGAAAATGAACTTCTGGCACACAGGGTACGGGAAGAGGCAAGCTGTGGGTGCTGCCCGGGTTGGGGAAGGTTGCTTTAGGCCCTCTTGGCAGGACTGGGGATCCCCACTCCTCAAGAGGGCCTTATGCCTCTCCTGCCCAGCCTGGAGGACACGACTTGTGCCCAGGCCTGGGATCCCAGCCTTGTGCTCCCTGCACCCCCGCCCTGGATGAGGAACCCCTAGTGATGACTGAGGAGTTACAGGTTCCCAAGGCACACCTGGCTGGGCACCGTGTCCACATCGCACACAAATCAGACCTCTACAGGCACAGGCACACAGAGTCACAAAGACACACACAGGCTTACTCAGACACACAAAGATACAGACCCTCCTCCTCCTCTGGGGGCTCATATGCAATGCCATTATCACACACAGACCGGGATCACCCAGGGATGCTGTCATACACCCTTAGTACACAGCCACACAAACACACACACACACAGCCACACAGAGAATCCCACACAGACCTCACCAGAGCCACCCAGAGTGACACCAATAACAGTCACACATGAAGACCCTCACCATCACATAGACCCTCATAGAGACTCAGATATACACTGACTCACAAAGACACACCCAGACACATTTACACGGACTCCCAAAATTATACACTGAGCCCAGTTACATAGATACACACAAGACCACACAAAGTCACATAAGTACACAAAACCTCACAGACCCTCTGGGTCATGTACGCAGATGCTCCAGATGTGGCACACACAAAGATATATACATCTTCCTCACACACAGACACACAAGGACACACAGACACAAGATCATCATCCATGGTCACCAATGATCACACACATTTTTGTCACACTGACACCCAGAGATAGACACAAGCATCCCCAAATCATAAGTGGAGACGCTCAGGCCAGCCTGTAGCTGCACACAAGGTCCCACAGACACACACTTACACGTGCCCCGGCAGCACAGCCGGGCTGAGGCCGAGGACAGGCAGGCGGCAGGGCTTCCTGTGGCCAGCGCTCATCTGAAGCAAGGGAAGGAGCCGGGGGAAACGTTTCATTTGCAGCCGGCTGGAGACCCACCCCACCCGCCCTGGAAACCTGGCCCTGGCTCTTGAATGGGGCCTCTGTATGCCGCTACCGCCCAACCGACCAGGGTGTGGGTATCAGGGGGGTGAGGCTGGCCGCACTGAGTCCCTGGCTGAGCTTCAGGGGCCACCTAGCCGATGCCAGGGCCGAGGCTGGAGTCCCCCAGCCTCCTCGCAGCATATGGAGGCCACTCCCCAAACCCAGCCTGCCCACATGGGAAGACAGAGGGGCGAGGCAGTGTCCCACCTGGCCCTAGATCTCCAAGTGTCCCCTCTCTCAGGCCCACATGTGTCCCAGGCTGGGCAGCTGCCAGTCCCATGCCACTAGGCCTCTCGCTCTGGCACAAAGGTATGATACAGCGGCTGCATGTGATGGCATAGCTGAAGATGTGACAATGCGGCTGTATGTGACACTGTAGCTGGGCTCCCTGTGCAGCCTAGGGGTGGGGGGGTAGGGCAGTCACAGCCCCTTGGCTCATGTCATCACATACTGTCACACACATAGTATCACTGTCACACCTTCAATAAGTCACACAGCCACACTCTCATCTTCAGTCCCACTGTCACACACAACCACACTGTCACACATGCTGTCACACACAGCCACACTGTCACACCTTCAACCAGTCACGTTGTCTGTCACACCCTCAGCCACACTGTCGCACACAGAAATACCATCACACCCTCAACGATTCTGGTCACACGTGCCTCTGGTCACACTGTCTCACACATCCTCACACTCCCCCAACACACCGACCCTCACACCGTGTCAGCATCACACTGACCAGCAGAGGCACACTCACATAATCCATCCAGGTGTCCCCCGCAGCTGTGCTAGCCATGTGGCCACATGGAGTCACCACCCCACTGGGTCACAAGGAGGTAAAACAGATCTGATCACTTCATCCCCAAGGTGTGGCGCATAGATGCCCCTTGATCACTGTTTCAACCAAACCCTTTGCTCCAGCAACACAATAACACACCCTGATTGTCACGGTGTCACAGAGCAGGTAGCCAGCAGATACGGGCCACTGCAGAACTGCTCAGAGACATTCTGATGACATGTGCCCAGGGCCTCATTGTTGCCAGTGACAGGCACACATCTCACACCGCCATACAGTGCCCAGAGTCCCCGGACAGCGCTACAAAGAAACGGTGGGCGACAGCCACACCGCAGTTACAAGGACATCCTCCTTGTATGAGTCACACAACAGTCACTCTCCCTGGTGCCTGTCACAACATTGAGACAGCCCCTTAGCCATCCCAACAAGCAGCCAAGCACGCAGACATGACCCCCACAATAGTCACCAGGAATCCCTCCAGCCCCCCAAGCATGGAGACAGGAAGAGCCCACACAGCTACCCCCTTCCCCACTGCAGTCGTGCCTGGAGAGCAGGGGGCTAATGGACACACAGCTATAGGCAGTGGATGCCAGCCCCCCCGCCTCATGAATATTCAGCAGCTGGGGCTCTTCTGAACCTGTAGGGAGTCAGAGGTCCCAGGCAGCTGGGCACCCCCTTCTGTGCCAGGAGGCCCTCAGGTGAGGGGGGGCTCAGCGGAGCCCTGACAGTCCTTGGAACCCACATCCAGTTACACACATCAGCACACGTGAGTTTGTGAACATGGACCCCCCAGACACACAAACAACCATCACACAAACTCACAACCACACCCAACAACAGGGCCATCCTCCATCACACACACGCACATGCACACACACCAGGCATGCAAACACAGGCACACACACTATCACATGAACTCACAACCAAACACACAATCACACTCAAACCACAGACACCCAACACACACACACACACCAGGCATGCAAACACAAGGGCACACAGTCACAAGACTGCATATCACACAGATACACCATTACACCCAAACTACACAGATTCAGTATCACACACAGGCATGAAAATATACGCACACACACACACACACAGACACGCACATGATCTCACTCTGCCCACCCCTGACGTTTTATAGAAGGGGAAACTGAGGCACTGAGCGGCTGAAGGCCCCTTGAAGGAGGATGGCCTCTCCTGACTCCAGGCAGAGG